AGCATGCTGCCCTCAGAACTGGTCACACGTGTGGTGCTGACAGGAATAGTTGTTAATGGAGTGCTTCCTTCACTTGGAGTCGAGATTGGCATCCTGGTACCTTCAGGAGTTGTAGGAGATGAACTGACTTGGGTAGTAGTGGTCACAGGTGTGCTGGTGCCAACAGAAGGTGCTGAAAGCATGCTGCCCGCAGAAGTGGTCACACGTGTGGTGCTGAGAGGAATAGTTGTTAATGGAGTGCTTCCTTCACTAGGAGTCGAGATTGGCATACTGGTACTTTCAGGAGTGGTAGGAGATGAAGTGACTTGGGTAGAATTGCTCACAGGTGTGCTGGTGTCAACAGAAGGTGTTGAAAGGGTGCTATCCTGAGAACTGGTCACACGTGTGGTGCTGACAGGAATAGTGGTTAATGGAGTGCTTCCTTCACTAGGAGTTGATATTGGCATGGTGATAACTTCAGGAGTTGTATTAGTTGAACTAGCCTGAGTAGAAGTAGTCACAGGTGTGCTGGTGTCAACAGAAGGTGTGGAAGGTGTGCTAGCCTCAGAACTGGTCACATGTGTGCTGCTGAGGGGCATAGTTGTTAATGAAGTGCTTCCTTCACTTGGAGTAGACTTAAGAATAGTGGTGAACTGAAGAGTTGCTGGAGATGAACTGGCTTGCGTAGAAGTGGTAACAAGAATTTTGGAGCCAAAAGGAGTTGTTGAAAGGGTGCTAGCCTCAGAAATGGTCACTGGCGTGGGGTTGACAGTAATACTTGTTAATCCAGTGCTTTCTCCACTAGGAGTTGAGGTTGACATGCTGGTACCTTCAGCACTTGTAGGAGATGAATTAGCTTCAGTAAAAGTGGTCACAGGTTTGATGGTGTTAACAGGAGATATTGAAAGGGTGCTAGGCCAAGAACTGGCCACCGCCGTGGTACCGAAAGGCACAGCTGTCAATGGAGTGTTTCCTTCACTGGTAGGTGAGATTGGCATGCTGGTACCTCCAGCAGTTGCAGGAGATGAACTGGCTTCAAAGGAAGTAGTGACAGGTGTGCTGGTGTCAACAGGAGTTGTTGAAAGGGTGCTAGCCTCAAAACTGGATGTCAGACTGGTGCTGACAGGTATACTTGTCAATGGAGTGCTTCCTTGCCTAGGAGTTGAGGTTGGTATGCTGGTAACTTCAGCAGTTGTAGGGGAAGAATTGGATTCAGTTGAAGTGGTCACAGGTGTGCTGGTGTCAACAGGACTTGTTGAAAGGGTGCTAGCCTCAGAATTGACCAGCAGCGTGGTGCTGACAGGCATACTTGTTACTGGAGTGCTTCCTTCACTAGGAGATGAGGTTGACATGCTGGTACCTTCGCCAGTTGTAGCAGATGAAGTGGCTTCAGTAGAAGTGGTCACAGGAGTGTTGAAGTCAACAGGAGTGGTTGCAAAAGTGCCAACCTCGGAACTGGCCAGCAGTGTGGTACTGACAGGTATACTTGTTGATGGAGTGCTTCCTTGACTAGCAGTTGAGGTTGGCATGCTGGTACCTTCAGCAGTTGTAGGAGATGAACCGGCTTCAGTCGAAGTCGTCACAGGTGTGCTGGTGTGAACAGGAGTTGTTGAAAGGGTGCTAGCCTCAGAACTGGCCACCTGCGTGGTGCCTACTGTCATACTTGTTAATGGAGTGCTTCCTTCACGAGGAGTTGAGGTTGGCATGCTGGTACCTATGGCAGTTGTAGATGAACTGGCTTCAGTAGAAATGATAACAGATGTGCTGGTGTCAACAGGAGATGTTGAAAGGGTGCTAGCCTCAGAACTGGCCACCGGCCTGGTGCTGACAGGCACACCTGTTACTGGAGTGCTTCCTTGACTAGGAGTTGAGGTTGGCATGCTCGTACCTTCAGGTGTTGTAGGAGATGAACTGGCTTCAGTTGAAGTGGTCACAGGTGAGCTGTTGTCAACAGGAGTTGTTGAAAGGGTGCTAGCCTCAGAACTGGCCTGC